ACTTACCTACATGCAGGCAATACACACATACACATAAAATAAAAATAATAAATAAAATATTTTTTTTTTAAAAAAGATCTATTTAGATCCATATTATTAGGGCATTTCTCAGTTTTCAGGGAGAAATATGTCTCTGTCATAGTACTCACAGCTACAAGACCTGGATGCTTAAGCTCACATTGCTTGTTCTTTCCTCTAAAAGTAAATGGTCAAAGAGATATGCTAGCTTGTAACTGTAGCTTTCCCATAATCTCATCAAGTTATTATTTTCTTATATACAAAGCAATTCATACAAAAATTCAATATGGTTCAAAATAATGGCATAGCGAAATTATACAGTAGATTTATACTGTCTTTTGGGGATACAAATTTCTGTGTATGTGGGTGCACCTGTATTGTGTATAGATGGAGATCAGAGGACAACCTTGGGTGTCATTATTCAGGTGCTGTACACCTGCTTTTTGGGGGACAGGGACTCTCACTGGCCTGGAACTCACCTAGTAACTTAGCCTAGATGGCCACTAAGCCTCAGGATCTGCCTATCTGCCTCCCCATCTCTGAGATTACAAGCATGTGCCACCAAACCCGGCTATTGGTTTTTATTACATGCTTTCTAGTGACTGAACCTGGATCCTCATGTTTCTAAGGAAAGCACTTTACTGACTAGACTAGTGGCCCCCATCCTGTTTGATGCAAATATCATGGCAATTGGATATACGAATTAGAAAGGAAGATGTAGACACTGAGGACCAATAACAAACATTTTTTTTGCAATTAATGTTAAAAGAACATTTATGTGAGCACCTCTGAATCTAAGACCTTTTGAACAGTCATTTTAATAGTTGTATGGCCTTAGTTGTAGTTCTTAATCCAAGTCCTGATGAGTTTTCCTTTAGGCTGCACATGGTATAGACGTGAACCATTTGGGCTGATATTAGGAGACTCAAATGGTCCTCTGGGCATATTAAAGGAAAGCTTTGATCATATACTGTGGTGAGAATGAAGCTGGAAGGATGCTATTACCTCTAATTATATTGCTAATATGTGATGTCCTTATAAAGATTGAAAATACCTCAGTAAGTTAAAAACCTCAGTGAGAACGAACAGGGTGTGCAAATGTATTAAGAAAAAGGGAGCACATCAAACAGGTTAAAGTGATGTTAAAAATAGTCACTGACTCCCCCTCCTAATTGTTGACACTTTCCATACCTCCCAACTGGCCTGTCCTGTGCTTGCCGTGCTGTCCGGTCTTCCATACCAACCACTTACTTCAAACCCATTAGGAGAATGGAGCCAGAGCCAGTGTTCTGTCTCAGAGACTATTACTCATTTCTGTAATATTTCTGGTATAAATAAATATATATTTTATAACAGCAAAGTATTTTCTTCTGTAAAGACTATGATTTTATCTTTTCAATATAGAGTTAAAACTTTCACAAGCAATTAATATATGCCTTTTACTAACAATGTATGTTGATTATGTTTTCTTGTTTATTTTTAGAATCGGGTTGTAAAACTTAGCTCAGTGTCTATGGTAAGAAAATCTAGGGTTTTAAAGATTCTTCTCTCAGAGAATTGTTTTAAGATGGCAGCTCTGTTCATCCTCAAGGGTTCAACATGGTGAACAGTATAGGCTCTGGACACACCTTATTTGATATTTGATAGTGTGAAGTGAATCTGCTGTGATCATCTACTACTATGTCATCCTAACCTAAGTCATTACTTTCTTCCCTATTCATAAGAACAGTTCACAATCTTCTTTTACAATGCATCTGAAATCACTTGTTTCAAAAACAAAAATAAATAAAATCCACTCCACTTGAAAAAAATAAAATAAAAAATAAAAAAGCCAAGCAATCGACTCACCCAAAAGAATACAAGAGGATAATTTTTTAAATAGTATACTTTGGGGATGAAGAGATGGCTTGTGGTTAAAAACATTGGCTGCTCTTGCAGAGGACCCAGGCTCAGTTCCCAGCACCCACATGATGGGTAACAACCATCTGTAACATCAGTTCCAGGAAATCAAATGCCCTCTTCTGACCTCCATGGGTATTGCATGACATGGGCACACTTACGTACCTGCAGACAAAACACTCAAATACATAAAATAAAAATAAAATAAATTAAGTGTATTGTTTTATGCTATACATGTGCATGGCTATGTAGTGAATTTTTTTTATCAGAATGTTCTCTTAGACCCAGTGGTTAGAATAAAATAATATACAGAAAAAAATAATATAGAATAAAATACAGAATAAGCACAACACATACTTTTTTTTTCGCTATCAACTTTTTCAATAATTAATTACTCAGGGTAGGGAGTCACTTTGCTCACTAAGACATGGCCAAATAGAATCCACCCATACCAAATACTGATCATTTCTGCACAATTTGAGATAGTTCAGGAGGGTGCAGTAATAAGGGAACAGAGATTTAATCTACAACATCCTTGATAATCTGCATACTTAACAAATATTGAGACCAATGGGAAAGCCAAATGTGAACACTGTAATTTATGATGTCAATAAAGGTTTCTGTGTTGTCAAGATGGAATCACTGTTATGTGTATGCATAGGGATGGAAATATCAGAGGAGTTTGCACTGGACCATTCTCTGTAACAACAGAGATGTCAGAGGGTTTCCATTGAACTGTTCTTTGTAACAATGGAAATATCAGAAGGTTTTCGTTGGAACAATCTATGTAACGGTAGAAATGTCAGCAGATATTTTTTGAAGTCCTAATCTTGTCCGTACTTAGAATGTTTTGAGTGCATTCTTAGGAAACAAACATCTGGATAACCTACTCACACCATGGAGACTGAGATGTCTGAAGCTCACTTAGGAACAAATGCTCTCCCCCTGAGCAACGCCAGGTGTTCTTCCTGTTACAGTCCTCTCACAACCCACTCAAAGGCCAATTTTTCCTTCCTCCACAGGTTACCAGCCAGTCTTGTCTGGTCAGCAGGGTTTCCAAGGCCTGATGGGAGTGCAGCAGTCTCCTCACAGCCAGCAAGGAGCCCCGGTACAGGGCGTGATGGTCTCCTACCCAACCATGTCTTCTTATCAGGTGCTTGTCAACAGCTGGGAAAACTCTGGGTAACAGGCTCATAACCTCCAAAATAGAAACTGAAGAACGTTCCTGTGTTGGGCAGGTAGTAGGGAGGCTTAACCAAACCATCCTGGTTACTTGACTTTGAATGAAGATTATAAACGAAAAGTAGAAAATGGAATTCAGATGCCTTTATAAATGCTATGGATTTTGAATGCCCTGCTGAATTTGTCTCCATATAAACTTTCTATTCATGAAAGAAAATTCATTGATATTCTATCCATGAAGACCATTGGACATTTTGTTAAAATTACACTTATTGATAGAAAAGCCTCATGAAAATTTTCCAGTCATTTTTGTACCCACCCAAGTAAACTTCATTCCACCATAATCTGAAGTTATTAGAGATTTTAAAATGGTCTCTCCTTCATTTAAAGGGCACTTATGTGGACAAGCAACTCCATTCTCTAGACTAAACAAATTTGAGTTTTTGAAAACTGTTGCCCATGTTTTTATGTGATTTATATCCTGAAATATCCCAGAAGTAGAAATGAAGTTAGTGAAATTGTTTAGTCATTATCTTTGGCTGTACCCAGTACACTAGCCTTAAAGAAGCCCTGCTCAGCCATCCTACCCTAGACAAAACCTCTCCTTATTAGAGAAGGCTTCAAGCTACTTTCCATGGAACTGGAATGGGGCATGGCTTTCTACGCTGAAAGAAAGCTAGAGGTCTGTCTAGATGTTGTTCTGGGGTGATGGTGGGAAGGGGGAGATGGAGAAGAGGGAAGGGTAAGGGAGGGGAAAGGATGGAAGAAGAGGCAAAAGAGAAGAAAACAGAAGAGAGGAGGAGGGGAGGAAATGAAGGGAGGGGAATGGGGAGAGGAGAGATGAGGAGGGGAGGGAGGGCAGGGGAGTGAAGAGACTTATAGTTGAGACTTCCAAGCATCTGCTGCGTGCTGGGCACTGTCCCTGCATACTTCCAGTGGTTCTTTGACAAAGTTGTCTTTATCCAAATGGTCTCCGGGCATCTGCAACCTGTGGTCCATGGGCTGCTTCCATCCAAACACAACTCTGAATGCAACCAAATGTATTTGTAGGCCATGAAAACATGTCACAGCATCAAACAGTTAAACAGGCTAAGTTATTTTCCCAAGTGAAATAGCTATGGAATGGTGGATATGGAATTGGTGACCTGCAGGTCCGACTCAAACACTTGATTTTCCTGACACCACATCCTTCACTGAACACTTCAAGACAGCCTCTTCACATAGAGTTTTGCTTCTGTCTTGCACAGGTGCCAATGACACAAGGTTCTCAAGGAGTGCCCCAGCAGACGTACCAACCGCCTATCATGCTGCCCAACCAGGCAGGCCAAGGGTCGCTCCCAGCCACCGGAATGCCTGTGTACTGTAACATCACGCCTCCAACCCCTCAGAACAGCCTAAGGCTGATAGGTCCACATTGCCCCTCCAGCACAGTTCCGGTGATGTCGGCTAGCTGCAGGACAAATTGTGCAAGCATGAGCAATGCTGGTTGGCAGGTCAAGTTCTGAGAGCCGAGACTGCCTGTGATCCACTTCATCAGATGTTACTCATGGCCTTCAAGGAAAGAGAGTGGACAACTGGCTGAGGACTTCCATATTCACTCAACACTCAAGTGATTGCTGCTGGTGTTCTGTAAAAACTAATCAAAGACTAATACACACATTAGCTGGTTAATGGTGCATATTTCTGTCATGTCTGCTAGGTATGCCTTTTTAGCTTAGCTAGTGACATGAATTCATCAAGGTAAGATTTTCTCCTACCACTGAATACCACTGTGTAGATTACAATATCCCTGATTTGGATTAGTTTTGTACTTTGTGTTGAGTTTGTGATGCTAAAAGTATTTAAAAATATATATACTAAATCACACTGTACCAAAGCTGTAATGGAAAAGAAGAGAGTTAAGGAATGGAAGGAATAATTTATATACATTATAGAGTTTTCTTTTTTAAATGGATATATATGGTATTGTAGTGTTTAATCGAAATAAAAGCTATCTGACCTTATGGAGAAAGGTCATGTTTTTACCACCAGTTTCTTTCAGTCTCTTTCAGTATGTGTTATATATTTATTTAAACATGTACTTAATGTTTTTATTAGAAGATATTAATGTACATGATAATGGGCTTCACTTTGACACACACACACACACACACACGTAGTATATTTTGATAATATTCAGACTCCATTAGCCTCTCTTGTCACCTCCTTCTTCCCAACAACCCCCATTCTACTTTCATGCCCTCATATTTAATGAATCAAGGAGTTTCAGTAGGACTGCTTACAGGAGCAAGGGTGAGAGGTTGTTTACAAGAGCATGGGCAGTTACCAGTGGTTACCCAGAGGGGAAAAGTCTCTCCATCTCCCATCCACCATTAACTTTCTATAAACCCTCAGAGAGGGGCAGGGCCTCATCTTGGGCAGGTCTTCTCCAGGTAATCACAGATTTGGTGAGCTCAAGAGTACCACACCATATCACACCTGGAAGATAGTGTGCCACAACACACCACCTTTCCTACAGATCTTGCATTCTTTCTGTGCCCTCTTCTGGAATGTTCTGAGTGCCTTGGAGGAGATGATGCAGACATTCCATTTATAGCTGAGCACTCAGCATCAATATGTGTTTTATTAGTGTCTCTTTTGTCCTTTCTGAGCATTATCTCATGAATGCTGCATGGAAAAGTGGTTACAGGCATTTTGAATTGAATTCCATCTCATGGAGAGATGTTAGAAACAAACACTTCACCAGTAATAGCAGCCTCCCAGTATGATATATGACTGTCCTGAAAATTAGATGACATCCATGTCATTCATTCATTGAGGTTATGTTTTTGAAGTGTATACATTGCTTTTAATTATAGAAATATTTGCATACAGCTGTATCATACTTACTAGGACAATGTACGTGTTGTTATTAAAGCACACCCTGTTTCTAGCCAATTCTGCCTTCACTGGAGTTTACCCATGTACCTGGAAGATACCTTTGTTTACAGGTAAATTGGAAGAGGTAAAGTCTAATTTCTCCAGTTGCATTAGACCATGAATCCAAAGTACCACTCTCTTTTAACAGTGTGCCAGAAACTCAAAGGTGCTAACACATGTCCTAAAAACTAAAATAAATAAATAAATAAATAACATAAATATAGAAATGATTTAATCACAAAGACCTTGAATATAGTCAAAGGGAGCTCTAAGAAGCCTGTGGTTATCTAATCCCACAGTATTTAATTCCCTACAGAGCCTGCAGTTAAAATTGAGTCAGGACAACATTTAACAAATAATAGAACGCTGGACTCTGGGGATTAGCACTTGGAAAGATGCTTATTTTGGGAATAAAACCTCATAACTTTCATTTTAGTATCACAGCACAATAATGGTTTCATATTTTGTGTTTCCTGACTACAAATGAAAGAGTTATGTACGTGGTACCTGGGAAATTACCATTGATTTTCATTTTATCACATTCTCTGCATTAAATTTTCCACTTTCATGTTGTTTAGCTGTGGTTAGAGTTAAGCTCTTAAAAACCCTATTTAACAGATTAACATTTCTCTCAGTGTATAGTTTTCTTTTTCCTTTCAAACAGAGCTTTTGTTGAATACTAATTAACTCTATTCCTTGTGAAGTCTGTTTCATTTTTCTGTATCTGGGTCTACTTACTTCTCATCAAAACTAATCACTGACCATGAAAAAGTGTTATAAAAAAGAATGGCCCATCTTTTACCTCTTACCGAGCCATTCAACCAACAGCCACACTGGGAAGGGGAGCCCATTTGCCCAAGTAAGATCTTCCCTAATGGTAGAAGGACATTGACCAATATGGATTCATTTTTTAATTGCATTCATTTATTTATTTAGTTAATTAATTCCTCTCTCCTCTTCTTCTCTCTCTCTCTCTCTCTCTCTCTCTCTCTCTCTCTCTCCACACACACATCCCAGGGTTCATGTGTGGAGGTCAGAGGACAATTTGCAGGAGTCAGTTTTCTCCTATCACCATGTGGTGGATGGAACTCAGGTCATCAGGTTTGATGCAAGCTCCTTTATCCAATGAGCCATTTCATGGGCTTTGATTTACTTTTCAAATGAATTCATTCTCTGTTTAGCCCTCAGACTTGACAGTGACTGTAAAGCCCAGTGCTGCAAAGATAGTTGAAATGCTTACCTTTCTTCTTTTATGTTCTGGAAATTTTGGTCTTTACAAAATTTTATCTTTATTTTATATGAGTGCTTTTCCTGCATCTGGGGTAAGTGCATCTGTGCCTGAAGTGCCCATGAGACCAGAAGAAGGTTTCAGATCCCTTGGAACTAGAGTTATAAACAGTTGTTAGCTACCATGTGGGTGCTGGGAACCAACCCTGGTCCTCTGCAAATGCAGCCAGTGCTCTTAACCACTGAGCCATCTCTCCAACCCCTAGACTTTTCTTTAATGATATTTGGAATTGCTAAGCCTTTCTGTCTCTATGGATTTAAAATATTCCTCATGCTACTGGTAAGCTAGGCCTTATACATTTAGATATTTATTTTTATTGTATGAGTTCCTATAAATGCTGTTTTATGCCAAGCCGTCATTCTTCCTACTTTCAATAAATATTTATATCTGGTCTTAGTCTAAATACTATGTCATTCATACCATTTTCATGCATTAGAATATTTGAAGTATCTATGTAAGATGATGGTTTTATAAATGAAGCATTTTCAGAATTTGTTGTCAAGAGAACATTTAGTGTTTTCAGGTTGGTTAATAATATTATAGTCACATTTTAATGACAGGCCATTCAGTTTATATGTAGAGATGCTAATATATGGATACTTAGGAAAGTGAATACATCAATAAATAGCTATAGTTACCTCTAGTGATCTTCTATACCTCTCTGTGAATGTAAAATGGTATACAGGTGAGTTATGAAAAGTTTTATTACATAGTTTGTTATATCCTAGTTATGTTGAACCATTTAAAACAAGAGTACAGATATATTTAAAGTACTTAGCTTTATTCTTAGGGATTTTTACTTTGCTTTGATTTGCTAGTTGGAACTAAATGTTCTAACTAGTTTAGCAGCAGGCTATTATTAATATACTCCTGCAGGTTATGAGGAGGGTCAGGAGAGAATACTGTCCAGCGTTGTGGAAACAAAGTTACACAATTAATTATGAATATAGTCGGAAGACTGAGATAGAACTGTAAATCACCATTAGAAATGTGATGCTTTTATGTAAAAAAAAGTCTTTAAAGAATGATTTAAAGATTAAACCAAGTACATAACAGCAGTTAAATTGCCAAGGGCCCTGGTCATGCCATCCTCCCATTCTCTGTGCTTCATACACACAGGCACTCTGTGGACACGGTTGGAACTCATTCCTTCACCTGTTCCCCAGCACTTATTTCAAAGGAACCTTAATCATTTATAAGCCCAAATTAAATCTTGGAAATGCCTCACTTTTATATATTAATAGTTTATATGAATATAAGTATCTTATTTCCTAAAATATTTTCCTTGAAACATTTTTTTAAATCTATGTGTGTGTGTGTGTGTGTGTGTGTGTGTGTGTGTGTGTATGCACAGCCATATCTATTCCATAGCATGTGAGTGGAGATTAAAGGACAGCCTCATGTGTTAGCTTTCACCTTAGGCCTCGACTGAGTCAGGACCTCTTAACCCTGGGTGAGCATGCCCAGGTGGGTGGCCCGATAGTTTCTAGGGAATCTCCACATCCCAATTGGTGCTGATATTGCTTCCACATCCAGATGTATGTGGGTTTTGGGGATCCAAACTCAGGTCATCATGCCTGTGAGGCAAGCACTTTATCACTGAGCCATCTGCTTAGCCCAGAACATTCTTTTCCTAGTGTTGCTTATTATTTTTATTTGAAAGAGGATGATCTAAGGGCAATTTTAGAGAGACAAGGTTAATAAAGGTCAACTAATATTTTAAAAAATATTTTATTATTTTTATTTTATGTGTATGAGTGTATTGTCTGCATGTATGTGAGTGCACCCATGTCATGCAATGCCATGGAGGTTAGAAGAGGACTTTGGATTCCCCTGGAACTGGAATTAAGGACAGTTCAGTGTTGCCATGTGGGTCCTGGGAATTGAACCCAGGTCCTCTGCAAGAGCAATCAGTGCTCTTAACCTCTGAGCCATCTCTCCATCCCCCAGGGTCAACTAAGGTATAAAAAGCTATGTGGTTTATGGAGCATATTTTATTACCTAATATTAAGATCTTCCAAAAGGAAGCCATATTTTTCATAGTTTTGCCGAATTACCTTTCATTCACAGAATAGATCAAAAGACTAATTTTATGAAGGGAAAGTTAAAAATATATCAGAAAACTATAAAGAACACAGATTAGGTATTTGTTTTTTTTTAAAGGAATAAGAGTTTATTCTGGAGCCAAATTTGAGTGACCAAGGCCAGAAACATAGATTCAGATTACCCAAACACCAAGTTTCACTTCAACGGAACCTCCTGTGAGGCTGGTTAACTGATTAGTTCTTGCTTTAATTTTAGCAGAAACAATGTGTCTCAAAATGAAATTGTGACAGTAGCCAAACAGTGATGGACCCATGTACCCTCCATCCTCTTATCCCATGTTCCATATACAGAGACACACTGTGGAGTTCATACTCCACCCTTCACCTGTTACCAAGCACTTGTATCAAAGGCACCTCATTTATAATCCAAAATTTGAGGCTATTTCAAATAAGGTGTGAGGGGAGGAATGACACCTGAAGTTATTCTCTAATCTTTACAACCCCACTTCTGACACTTTTTGGCATTTGTTGCTGTGTTCGCTATTACTTGGTATCATCCATGAATTGTGAACATGGGAGGACCTGCCATCATGCCTCTTTCTGATTATTGTTTTGAATTCATAATTTTTAAAGACTTGATCTCTATATTCAGATCAATTAATATATAGTTACATAGATATAAATGGCCTGAATACAGTTGTCTTTTATGAGTCTTCATTCCTCTATGTGAGTGTCAAATGCAACCAGAGTGATTTATGCACTAATTTGCTTAGCATGCTCTTACTGCATCCTCACTGATTTCAAGACCTTGGGCCACAATTCACAGAGTCCCTATCTTTAAGAAGTTTGTGAATTTTTAGAATAAATTATGCTGCTGTTTAAAGAACTAAAAACAAATTAGCCACAGTGTTCATCTGAAAAATAACATAAAAGTAGGAATTTGGAGAAGAAAGTGGGGATTCCAGCTGTTGATTCTGTGAGGCTTTTGTCCTGCACCATGTTGGAGAGATGGAATTTGGATATGGAGAGATGGATATTGGTATATTATAATCTCAGCTAAGAGAGATGTCGATAAGAAAAAAGGACACAGGATAAAATACAAGCCAGGGTGGGGAATTCTGAGAAATTCACCATGATCCTGGCTTGCCTGACCTTGAATGGAAGAGTTAATAGGCAACCTGCAGCTTGGGAAATTTTTCAAATGCAGGATAAGATGATACTATCCATGGTTCATAGAGACATATATACCTCCAAAATGGGGTGGGCTACCTTTGAAAAGACTCTTCCTTTGGAGATCAGAAACTCAACAGCTAAGGTCTCCCAGAAGCTACAGCCACCATTATTATGAATAAGTCACAATGAGTTCTAATTCTAGACTTAGAACCTCTGAGCTTTACATTTTTTTCTTAAACATAACCTTCTGTATATGTGTGTGAAACTGTTCTACGGTTGCATGACTTTTCTTGGAGAGGCACAAAGACATATCTTTCACTGATAGAGCACAGAGAATTGACAGACCAAAGAAAGGATTCCATCCACATCCAGTTTGGTGAAACAGGAGTTTATTAGTGTGACCCACATGAGCATGGGTGACTCAATACCATCACCTTCCTTCCCCTTCCTGTAGCTTGATCTCCAGGGAGTCCAGTGTTGGTGATCTCAGGTGCTCTGATTCGAGATGGCTAAGATCATACATGATCTAGAAGAAACAGCTACAGAACACCTCAAGCTGTATGTCAAAGTGTAGTGAGTATAAGCTGTTGAGGTTTGAGAACAGCCTGAGCTGGAATTGGAGAAAGCAAGGGAGGGGTGCCAAGCATCCATCCCAGTTTGACTGC